ATTATCACCAATATTATTAGATTTCGTTTTGGGTCTGAAAAAAGTAATAATTTATGCTATTCTATTAAAATCAAGCGCTCTAGCGGCTATTATGCAGAGATCAAAGGATTAGAGATATTATTGACAAAAATAATTTTGTGTGGTTTTGCAGTTCTTTATCACTGTTACATCAAGGTTAAACAAATTTGATAGAGTGAAATGTTATACCAATACAGTTGGTTCTATCTGATGTCCTACTATTAGTCTAGTGTCTTGTTCTGAATTCCTCCTCACAGTGCTATTAAAAAATACATCATATGTAAGCATCACAAAGAACCTTTTTTTTAATGAGATATTCAAGCAAATATTCAGTAATCCTTTGCATTCAGGGAAGTTTGCATAAGTTGTAGATAGAACCATAAAAGATATGTTGACAAAATAGAGAATTTTATGAAGAAGTTTTACATTTGCACTTATCCCAATGGCTTGTACAAACTGAGGTAACAAAAATAATAATTTGTTTTTATATAAGTGCCGTTCACGTTACCAATCTCGACACATGCTGACTCGATCTCGACTATGTGTATGAGAGCGGTCATGACTGAGTTGGCATGACGATTGCAGCTTGATATAGTCGGATGCTGCAGTAATGAATAAAATGAATGCAGAACATTGTCGGCGACACATATTTATGTTCCACTGCAATCGGCTGTAACGCTACGTCAACATGAAAAATAACTGTTCTTCGAATCATTTGTTGCTATTCATGTGCAAGGTTACTCATAATAAATACCATAACAGCAAATTGATAAGATTTCAACAAAGTAAGTAATATTGTTATCATATATGTATTGTGTGTTATGTTTGAGTCCAACAACAATTGACGAATGAGGGCGTGATTTCGGCATTAGCTGGGTGGGTGCCGAAGTGGGTGCCGACTGACATGAACACAACTGCTTTAATCCTCTTTGAACACGAATTAATAAAAATGTCGGCACATCCCACAACATGAACGTATCTAAAGACAACAGTGTTGTTTGAAACAATAGGCTGTCGCACTTGATTACATTTTGCACGCACACACGCACACAGTAACTGGTTGGCCAGAATCAGTCATTTGTACAAGAAGATAAAACGACAGTATGCGCTGCTGCTGTTGTGTACATATACATGTTACTGTTAACCTTTTTACCACCAGACTTTCTTGAGGGAGGGAACTGGTGGTGAAAAGGTTAATAAAACAACTTATGGAAAATGTTGTCACAGCAACTCATAAGCTAGTTTTTATTAGTTATACGACATTTGAGTGCTTGTAAGCGAAAATGGAAACAAATGATGTCACAGTACGACAGTCACAAGTATCGTAGTACACACATGGCCACACCGTGCTCGAGTCCAATGACTAAACATTCAGATATTGAAAATGCATTAATTATTCACTGGGTTTTAATTTTGCTATATAAGTATAATGCGCTAAATTAAATCCACATGAACAAGTAAAATAACAATAGAACTCATTGTGTCCACTTAAAACCCAGTGAAAATAAATGGTTTTACAGAATAGTATTAGTTCGTCTAATCGTAATAGTTTCATGATGTATAGTTTGCTTTTCATCAAAATTGAAATATATTGGTCAGATGATGGTAAAACAGATTACATGTAAATAGAGTGATCACAAGACAAGCTCTCTAAATGAATCATTCATAAAATATTAATTAATATTTATTAATTAAGTTTAATTTACTTTGATTTTTTGGTTCTTGACTGTGGTCTTGAAGGAGGTTTACTTCTGGATGATGATGCACGTGTCCCACTTTGCTGGGATAATAACCTTTCCTGTGAATGGAATATACACAATGTACTTATTCATAGATTGACAAAACCTACTGTATTGTATTGTATAAAAGTATTATTTTTTTTTTACACATATCACTCAAAACATAACATCACAAGTTGTGGAGATAAAATTGAACCATAATACTTAATAATACTGTTCTTTGACCTGGTAGGTCAAATCGATAATTAACCAATGAAAATGATGGATGATGCCAACGTGTTTAAATTACCGTAGCTCATTTTAATATGTTAATGTTATTGAATGCAGCACGGAAGAGATTTGCCGATATTGTAGTATGATCTTTTGGCTTGGATTTTGATGGGAAAGCGACATAATTTGTTTTTAAACAAGCAGCCTATCGGCTGAGATAGCTCCGCTGTTAGCAATGCACATTTCAATTAAAGAACTGAAGACATCATTAGAAAATGAACAATATGAATAGTATCAAAGCAATCGGACTTACAGTTTTTAACAAGAAGTCGAAAATATCAAAAATTACAAAAATATTCACGGAAAATAAATTAATTAGAGAATTGAAGATATCATC